AGCTTTACTAGTTATGAAGGAACAACTCACACTGAGGAAATATTTGAAGGAGTTGATGCCTAACATACATTTCAGAAGTTCTTTGCTATTCATTTTATCGTGGATTGTTTTTTTTTCTATTGTTTAGAAAGACTAGAGGGAAGATGGCATAATTACCCCTGTGAAGAATCAAGGCGATTGTCGATCTTGTTGGACATTTAGGTGAAAATTTGAGTTTGCAATGTAACATTTTATTTAAAACTTGAAGTACTTTGACTCAGAAATAACTGCTTAATAAATGACACATGATCACACATTACGTTTATCCTTCATCATATTTTTAATAAATATCAAATATATATGTGTGTGTACTAGATATTGGCGTTGGGTTCCATCAAATTTTACCTTTCAAAAACGTGAGGCTGGACTGGACATTTAGCATCACAACACGGAAACGATGGAAACAGCTCCATGAGGTGTGGGCTTGGGGTTTATATTTGTAAGTATTACGGAGAATTATATTTCTTTCTTGCCATTTGTAGATACTATTTCTTTTCTTTTTGAATTTCTAGAATACTTTTTATTGTACATTTATACTTTTAGGGAGTGCCCCCGGGCAGCCAATACTTTGGTGGCAAACCTAACCAAACAACAGGGTGCAGCTTGTACTTCTTCTGTTGGTTTAATTTATCAGTAGTTGAAGCCTCTGTTAGTGCTGGTGTGACAGACGTTGGTGCTCCTAGTGCCCCTGTTAATGATTTTGCAGCTCCTGCAGTTTCTGTTAACGATATTGCCGCTCCTTGTGCTCCTTGTGTCCCTGTTAACCTTGCTGGCTCTTTAATTGTTGTTTCTGCTCTCTCCGTTAAACCTGGTAACACTATGATTGTCCACACAGATTCTGTTACACAGGTTGGTACTACTAGTGCCCCTGTTAACACTGTTACAACTGTTGGTGCTCCGATCCTATTGCCCCTGTTAACCACAATGTTGCTGCTCCCACAGCTTCTGCTATTGATATTGGTGCTCCTTGTGCCCCTCTTAATGATATTTCTGCTCTCTCTGTTAAACGTGCTTCTACTAATGATACTGGTGCTCCTGCTCCTTATGCCCTTGTTAACATTTCAGGCTCTTTTATTGGTGTTTGTGCTCTCTCTGCTAAACCTGATATTGCTGCACCCACATAATATGTTAATGATGTTAGTCCTCTCGATGCCCCGGTTAGTACGTTGAGTTTATGACTCTAATTGATGACTTTAGTTAGTTATTACTTCTAACACCTAACTTATATTTTGTCTTTTATATGTCTTTGAGCGTCTTTTTTGTAGGGATATAAGAAGAACTACTTTAGAGGTAAGTTTATGACTCTAATTGATGCCCCGGTTTACTGTTTTCTATTTTAGAGGTAAGTTTTTGTCTAGTTGATGAAAGAAAGAACTTGATGACCCGAAAAAAGAAGACAATATTTTACTTGCAAAACTTCATATAAATTTAATTCTATAAATTTGTTAATATTTCTACTAAATTACAAAGTTGTTGTTGGTGCATTGGTAAAGTTAAATTCCCAGCTTTAACGTAAAGTTCTACTTCTTTACAATTTAGTCTTTCTTCTATCAAATGTCAGTTGCCCACATTGGAAGCACAAAGTAAATTCCCTTCTCCATGTGTGATATATACTGTTGGACTGGCTAGTGCGTAACACACGTCACAAGCGCTACTTTCCCGCACCTTAAATTCCCACACGTCACCAAGTTAGAAAAGAAGAGCTATGGAAGAAGGAATGGAGATATTTTGTTCACTACTTGCTTACTTTTGTATTGTATGTGTATTGCAATTTTCAGTCCCTCGTATGTCTCATGGAGTTGCATGAGGCTCTACTTTCTTTTAAAAAAATACGGAGTAACTTAAAATTGAAAGCGCCCGTCTTAGTTCCCTATGGAGCTGAAAACATACATTTGTGATTTGCAGGGTTGGAGATGAAAAACGTACATCAGATGTATTTCATGTTCGGATCATGAAGCTTACCAAGGAGAATGCCAAGAAGCAGGGCAAGAGACAATTTTTTTTATAAGTGCCAAATCAGGGTGCTCCATTGTTGATGTTTCGGCCTTTTTGTGTTTTGCACATGTATTTTTATTTTAGGTAGGATTTTTGTGGGGTATGTCCCTTTCATTTATGAAACATGTACATTCACATTTATGTGAGAATTTGAGATATAAATAAAAATGTTTGATTTTTGGGTTATTTTGTTAGTATTACTTTTTATATACGTATATTATATATATATATATATATATATATATATATATATATATATATATATATATATATATATATAATAATCAATTGGTGTGTGTGATACTATGGTGTCATTGAATTTGTGATAGTTTACTGTCATTGAGTTTTCTGATACTAGGGCGTCGTTGAATTTTGTGATACCATAGTATCACAAATTGCTGATACTATGGTGTCATAGCTTAGTGACACTTTTAGTGACACTTTTTTAGTGTCACTATTCTTCACTTTCAGCGACACTTTTTTAGTGTCACAGAAGCTTTTAGTGACACTAATTTGGTGTCACTGTAAGGCTTTTTTCTAGTAGTGGGGGGCTCTGCGATTTCAGGTATGACAAGTGGTATGAGAGCAACTCTGCACGGTAAGGCTCGTGTTGGTTTGTGAGAACATTACTAAAGGTCAAGAGTACCCAGGAGTAATTACCTTGGGACCTACGTGGTTGGAGTGTTACATAAACTTTCTCTCAAATAGGCATCAATAAGACATCTTTTTCAAATTGGCATTTTTTCACAATCGGAGGTGGGAGTTCTTAAAAGTGGTTGAGGCAAATATAGTACTCATTTTTTATTTTAATTTTTTGTTTTATTATAAATATATAAAATTCTATCAAAGCATGACAAGGATAGAATAGGCAAAGTTACTCTTACTTTTGGGATTTAAAAATTATACTCTTATTCTTGCAACATAACTTCTATTTACTCCTATTTATGGAATTGCCCCAATAATATTATACTTGCTCGATCAACTGAACATTGAACTTAATAGTTATAATTTAAACATTCAGTACCAATTCTAATTTCTCCATCCTAAAAAAACACCAACTTTAGGTACCATTAATCAATGTAGTTGAATTAGCCGTTTCAATTTAAACAAACCAATTTCGGCCTTTCTAACCTTGCATGCTCCAACCGAACTACCTCGTCCGTTGGCAACAGCAAAATTCAGTGTTTAAGATTGTTTGTACTACGTCGAAGAAAAGGGTTATCATGCCGATCTCTCTAGCGGCTCTGCCGCGTAGGGTTTTTTCCTCCCTAGCGGTTCTGCTGCGTAGGGTTTTTCCTCCCTAACGGCTCTGTCGTATGTAGGATTTTCCTTCCATCAATTATTTTCAATCTTGAAGGAGGAGTGAGTGCAGCAACAACTTTAGGAACGAATCCAAGGTTCAACAAAGAATAATTATGACTCCTATGGATGATCTAGAGCAGCGATGGCTCAGTCCTGCAATTGAGGAGGAAGTTGGATGGTTAGTTTTTGGAAAATCAGAATATAAAGCGGTTTGTTTTGATGATAAAAAAAAATTAAACAAACCAATAGGAAACTTATTCAACCCAGTGTTGCACATTTGAGAATACTTCACTACCCCCAAAATTCTAAATCTAAGTGTTTATGTGGAAGATTGGAGGAAAAAGACATGATCGAATAAGACTAAAAGCTCATATAAGAAAATATGAGTCATCTAAGGGGGGTGTATTTAATTGGGACATTTTAAGACATTTTGGGATTCTTAAAATCTGAGTGTATCAATTGAAACATTTTATGACATTTGGAGAGTCTAGAAAAAGTCTGCATGTATTTAAAACACCAACACAACTCGGGATTCTTTTTGGGACTGGGATTTGGCAGGATTTCACAACAAAAATACACTAACAAATCCTATTATCAAATCTCACCTATATACGGGAGATATGGGGAGACTGGTCACGGGAAGCCAAAACTGCTCTTCAACCATTTTTTCTAGCACCGGAAACCTCCATGCCAGCCTATTTCGTTTCCCAACCAAAAGAGACCGGAGCAACCATCGATTGTCCCGCTCTTCTCCCCGTCTTGTTTCCTGTAAGTCCAAATATTTTGAATAGCAAGGAAAAGCTCGACCTTTCTATCTCATATGCCTATATCTGATTGAAATGGGTCAAACATGAGGAAGTGCTCTCACAGAAGGTGAGTGGAGAGCTGAAGGAGTTAAGCAGAGATGGTGCACTGCCACAGACAGAAGCCACTAGCCACTGCCACTGAACTTTGTCCAAAAGAGCCTTTTAAAATGTCTCACACGATTTTGGATTGTCTAGAAAAGTCTTTTAAAAATCTTATATTAAAACAAATCTCTAAGTTTTTAACTAGGACTAAAAATTGACGCAGGAGCAGGGGATAAGAAGGTGGAGATGTACGCCGAGAAGGGACATTGGGCTGGAAATGAGGAGATGGTGGGCATCTTCCAAGTCCCTCTACGGAAAGACTTGTTAAAATAACGACAGCAATAGTATCTGATGATGAGATGACGAGGATCTTCCTTATGCCCCGTGCGAAAAGGCTTGCTGAAGTGACGATAGCGATAGTATCCAATGATGAGATGATGGGGATCTTCTCTATGCTCCATGGAAAGGCTTGTTGAATTGACGATAGCGGTAGTATCTGATGATGATATGATGGGGGTCTTCCATATGCCCCTACAGAAAGACTTGCTGAAAGATCATCTATTTTGAGAATATAATATGAGATGTTACATGAGTATTTTTTTAATACGTGATGATTATTTTTCCACTTAAGAGTTGATTATTTTCTAAAACTTGAGTGTGAACATTTAAATTAAACAAGACGTCCATTTTGTGAGTTGTCATGATCCATAGCCCTCGAGTGTCCGGTAGCCTGGTTGGGCCTGCCGAGGTGGTTGGCCTGTTGACGAACATGGCTTCTTTCTTCTTTTTTCGGCCTTTGTCCATTTTTTCAAGTTTACGTCACTCAACCGTCAATCAAAGTATCCTACCAAATCAATTTGGGGACGATATGTTCATCATTGAATGTCAAACACAGTTATTTTCCTTGATTTGGTGGGTTTCTGAGAGAAAGAAGAATTGAAATGGGGAGGTTGTTTGTGTTAACTCTGGAGGGAAAGGTGTATAGCTGCAAGCACTGTGGAACACATCTCGCTCTTGCTGACCACATCGTCTCCAAGGTTACCAGTTCTTCTTCTCCACCTCCTCCTCAATCCTCAAATGATTGATCCGATTTTCCAACTCAATATGCACTTGTCATTTCATCTTTTGTTGTATCATTTGAAATGATGATTGATTGCTCACCGACACAGCAAATCCCTCTTTCTGTGTGTATTATTTTGGTTGTATTTGGCTATATGTCTAAGAAGTAAATTCATTTAGTTGTTGCATCTTATTGGCATGTTTTATTGGAAACAGATGGATAGGATTCAGGAAAACTTATTGGTAGCTTTTAATTGTTATTGGCGTGTTATGGTTTTAATTGTCAGGAAAAGTAAAATCTGGAAACAAAAAATCACCTCAAACGTGGGGTCTTAGGTCTCTAGAATGCTTGTAATTGATTGTGAAGTAAAGAGTGAAACCTTCCTAATCCTTCTTTACAAAGCAGTAGCATTCATGAGATCTGTCTCAACTAAATACTTTTGTTAAAACTTGAAATTCACACTTTTTATAATTCAATTTCAAAAAGCAATTTTGTAGATGTTTAATAGTGAATCTGTATTATGCAGTTGCAAGCTTTATTATCTATTTCTTTGTGTGCAAGCATTACATATATGTGACTTAAACTTTTTGTTCCCTGCTATTTCCTTCAGTCTTTCCACTGCAAACATGGGAAGGCTTATCTCTTCAGTAAGGTGTAAGTCTCCTTGAGATTCTGCCACACTCACTCCCCCCTACATATGTTATCAGCAAACTAAGCTGGTTTGTTTTTTGCCAAAGGGTGGCTTATTCTGATTATTAGCCGTATTAGTAGTGTTCAGCTTACTTATTTGGCCGAAAAGGTGTAACTTGAGCACATTATCTTCAGAAAATTCAGCACATTAAGCCAAATAACTCTTACAAAACAGGCTGCCGTACGAGCATTGATGTTTAAACTCTTCATAAGTGATACGTTATGGAAACTGACATTTGAATTGACAGAGTGAATATCACTTGCGGCCCTAATGAAGAGAGGATGATGACGACTGGAATGCACACTGCTGCAGACATTTTCTGTGTTGGGTGTGGGTCCATTGTTGGCTGGAAATATGTAAAGTTCATTCAAACTGATATAATAATTAGTTTCATGCCTCTATTTCCCAAATTGTTCTATCGTAAATGTGAGAAATAAATGAGGAAAATTCTTCTAGGAAACCGCTCATGAGAAGGATCAGAAGTATAAAGAAGGAAAATCTGTCCTTGAACGGTGAGTTGATTATATTTCGATTATACTTCTGAGAAAACCTTATTGTTGTTGATTATGATGTGTGATATGTTTCACAGCTCAGCATATACAAATGATGTTATCTTAAGGAATGAGTTTTTGTATTCATCAATGTTTTAAAAAGCACTAGATGTCTCTTGAAGTTAGCATGGCTATCTTGAGCCAAAATGTTAGGTCATCCAACATCAGTCAAGTATGAAAATTAACATATATGGTTTGACCTACTTCTCTTATGAGGTTGAATGTTTAATGAAATCTCAAATCTAATATATTGGTCCACCGAGATTCATAGAACAACACTGTTGTTCATAATGTACTAAAAATATGTTTCATATCAGAGACTAATGTTTCAATGACTGCAACCAACACTATTGAATTTGACCTGTTGAGACTGCCGCTTTGTAAACTGAACAGGTTTAAGATTATCGGTCCTGATGGAAGCAGCTACTGGGGCAGTCAACGAGTTGGTCCTGATTATGTCTGATCAAATCTCTCAAGTTCATATTCTATCCCCTAATTTGTACATTCTCTGCCCACACCAAGTTCCTGTTCTTTTAACTGAAGAACTATCAACTGTGATCTGTAATTGGTTGTCCCATGCTTCGGATATTTGAACTGTGTATATAATTATCAAGTTGAACTCTCTATGTACATTCTTTACCCACACGGCCACACCATGTTCCTGTTCTTTTAAATGAAATAAATACTCCCAACTCCCAAGTGTGCTCTTGCTTCAGATAGTTGTTGCTTAAACCTTTGAACTCTGTGTATATTAATATTAAGTTGATCTATAAACCATTCTACCAATTTGTTTATCCCAATCTATGTAACTTAAATACAAGCAAAACAAGTGTTGTCCCATATTAATATATAACTCTTTAAGCCTGTTTAGTAACCTGATTCAGTTTATTCTATCGATTACCAAACAATTAGATTAAGAAGCTTTTGATTTACTTCTTTGACTTAAAAGCATTTTACTAATCCTGAGTACCCAAGACCTAATTTAAAACAAAAAACTTACATTATGTTTGGAAAATGTTGGATCTTTTATTTATAAATGCAACATGTACTTTCTTATGCAGAGTTCCACTATGAATACGGAAACGTATACTCTTTTATGAATTAAGTTCCGGAGTTTCAATTTATTTTCTAAAGTTATCAAGTTCCAAGATCTTTTTATGCAACAGAAAATATGAAGTTTACTGATGGACTTATCCCCATGCCTGATTAAGTTTTTTCAGCCGATTGGCAAAGAAACAGAACAAGTAGCTTTAGATTTACTTCTTTGAATAAAAAAGAACATTTTAGTAAACTCAGCAATTTCAATGATTTTAGGCAAGTATCTCTTCCCCGAAGATTGTCTGCTCTTCTTTGTTATGAAACAGCAATCCGTCTATGCAATTTTGGACGCGATTTTCATTATGAGTCATCCGGAAACAATCTCTCTATGCTATAGTACAGGGGTAAGACTGCGTACATCCAACCCCCCTACCCCACCGTAGGTAAAAGCCTTTGCGGCACTGAGATAAATGATGATTGATATATCTCTTCCCCGAAGTCAAATTTTTTTCTTTCCTTGTTCTCAATATATTGCTTATTCAGCTAATAAGTATAATAACTATTAAGCCCCATTTTGGCTGCCAAGCACTGCCTAAACATGTTGAATTGAAAGAATAGATGGGTATAAACAGAACATATCTAAATAAAATTACAAAGGGTAAAGTAAATTGCTTCATGCAATTTATTTATTCAACATTTATAATTATCAGTCCAATGAATAAACCATATTCTCAGAGAGTTCTTTTCCCACAATTCTCATGTATTTCTGCAAATGGGTTATCATACGCTGTCTTCCTCTGGGACCAAATGCTTGTAGCAGTTCCTTTCAAAACAAGACAATTTTAATCAGATTCAAAACAATAACACAAATTACATAAGCTCAATAAAGTCTTAATTTATTTATTTACTCCATAAAACAATGCAACAAGCACGGTGATGCCAAATATAAACAGTAACTTTTCCTTTCGCATATTTAGTGATCCAAACACACCCTTAGTGTTAAGAGACCAATGGCTTTACCTGGAACCTCAAAAGAATTCCATTCAACCCAACCAAAATGCCACCAACATCTCCGTCTTCAATATCACTAGTCATGGTACCACTTGTTAGTTGGTCCTCTTCATCGTCACTATCTTCAGAATCATTTTCAACCATTTTTTGGTCTGCCTGGACAAATATATCATTTGACCCCTCTGGAACGTGATCATCAACTTGTTCGTCTCGGAGATTTTCTAGGAGACTGGGAGGCAATGGTCCTTCATTGTTGACAGTCAAGTCAGATAGAACTGCATATGGTTTTCTGTCTAACAATGGTCTTGCAATCTCAAATGGAACCCACCTATTGAAACGAAATCATCGCATTATTGATGAGAAGGATAATATTAAATATTTTCAAGTATATTGATATATATGTATATAAACACACATGTTTAATGAAAGCTTACGTATAGCGAAGGGGGCAGAGAAGCTCGGATGGTCTGTATGCAGCTTTATATCTCATTTTGTTGCAGGAATGGATGTAATAACCAAGATAATAGTACTGAAGATTTGGGCAGTCCAATTGATTCTCTCTAACCCACCTGATCTCTTGCTGGGCTGAGTACTTACCCAGGGATAAGAAGGCAAAATCAGGATCCCAAAATAAATATTTACTAGATAAACACTTGGGCAAAATATCAACCACACCAACCGCAACAAGCTGCCCGTCAATCAAGTATTGCTGATGAAAGGATCCAAATCCACAAAGAGGAACACTTCGGTCAGCTGTTGGTGGAACAAACACTAACGGAGAATCAACCAAAAACCTTCTATAAGAACTCTCTGTGACTTTATCCGGTTCATCATTATGCACTCTGAGTTGGTATCTTCTATACAAGGAATATTCTTCAGGATCAAAGCTGGATCGGTTAAGACGGATCTCAAGTTTGTGTGTTTTGATATCTATGTACCTTCTTTTACTACAACTTTCTCCTTTGTCTCTTTCTGAAGCATAGCCTACACTTTGCAGTTTGCTGGAAGAGTAGAAATTAATGTGGCCATTGCAAGCTAGAACTCCAAAACCAGACAATTCTTCCAATTGATTTAAACAGCTAACAAGTTTTTCTGCAACATCTGCAGCATTTCCTGGTTCACAATTCTTTTTGGACCGCCTTATAACAGAAACAATCTGGAATGAGATGTTGCTGGTAAATAAGAGATCTTCTGCTCCTTGAACCTGTAATTTTCTTTTATTTGCTGATGAAACTTTTTTAACGGAAGCTTTTGGTAACTGGATATCAAGGGGAATCTCTCCACGTTCAGCACATGTTTGTACAGCATTGTCGATCTGTTCTGACAAATAATGCATATACCAATCGGAATGGTTTTTTCCCTCACAATAAGGCGGAAAACACTCCTTAGATATTGAAATCTCATTGCTGGAGTTAGTGACTACAGTGCTGGATGTATTTGCAGGGTCCATGGACTCTTCCACTTGTTTATTTAATTTTCCTTCCAGAAACCTATGAGCAAATAAGTCCAACATAAGTACCTCAGTCATAACTTCAATTTCATATTATTTTACCCATAAAGCTGCATAAAATAATATTTTAACCCATAAAGCTGCATGAAAGCATGCATGAATGAATAAGCTACAGAAACCCTTCAGAACTCAATGATATACTGCCTCCATCCCCAAAAAATCGAGTTTCAAAAGCTATGTGGGATATTTATCAAACAAAGCTAATTTTTCTTTTAATTTTCCAATCTTAGTCTAAAAAAAGTTTATAAACAAGTAAATGTTTACATTTAGTCATACCCCTGTAAATGATATGTGTGTGTGTGTATGTATATATGATACCATGACTTTTGACAGATATACCTTGCCAATGTAAAAATGATGTACCTAGATTGCTAGACAAAACATGACACTTTTTGGGGAAAGGCCGAAAGAGGGAATAAGGATGTTTTTTATTTGGACTGTTTAAGGTCCCAGACCAGAATAGACCAAACTTATACATAACAGACCAAACTTCGATAGTTATAAATCACACAAAGATCATACATTTACTAGACCAGACCAATCCAAAGTTCCAGACTTAAACAGACCAGATCAGACCAAAAAAAATTCAGTCCAATTAAAAACATCCTAACTTCTAATAGACAAAACAAAAAGAATAAAACAAGGTTCAAGCATAAAACAAACAGATGAGACTAATATCACTTAACCAACTAGGAAAACACTTGAAGAATCTTATAAAGCAAATTGTTGACTCTTGAAAACAAGTACAATGGAAGAAAGAGATAATACGTATATGCGGTTATACCTCTCCATCCGTTTCATTACTCGGCGTTGTTCCTTAAATGGAATGTAATCACCAGCTTTTAAGCGTATGGTATAAGATGGGCAGCATGTGCTTTCCATCTCAGGCTTGTACAAATAACACCCCGACCTTCTCCACCCCCTATCAAGAAGAGCTGTATAAAATATTAAAATTTTAAATTATATGGTCAAATAAAATCAAATTGAAAAAGTAGAAAACAAAAAAGAGAATTCATTGGCACTTCTCAAATGAAGGCTTGGTAGTCATCAAATTGGGACTAAGGCTTGGATGTTGTTGCTGTATTAGCACTTCTCAAAAGAAAATCTATGTTACACAGAAAAGCCAAAATTTAGAGAATGTCAACTGACCTTGGTAGTCATCAACTGTGAGTCGTTTAGCCCATAGACCTGAAAATCAAAAGCTGGAAGTTACAGGGAGACCATCAAAGAAAGCCATTCACATAATTATCTCCTACTTGGCTACTTCAGCAGTGAGAGGTGATGAAATCAAAAATCACAACGTCCAAATTAGCTTATAATTCCTATTCAAGCCAGACACAGATGATAATCAAGGTGGGTTTCCAGTTGCCACAATGATGCAACAAAGTTGGAATTAAATCCAATCAATAGTCTCCATCAAAAAAATCCACGATGTTAATAATCTTAAGAAAATTACTGAAGCTCACAACTTTATTATTACCAGAGGCTCAATAACAACCAAGCTAACCAAATGATCACGATTATAACGGGATAAAGAAACTACGAGAGTAGGATTTATAGCAGGAAAAGAAAATTACCATGTGAGATACCGGTGGCGTCACCAGATTTACAGTAACCACAAGAGCTATTGCGGGGGCCATAGTCAACTACGACGCTTTCAGCCATCCAAAATTGGTCCGCACTAGGGTTCAGATTTTCGAATCGCTTCGCAAACGTAATTGGGAGAGTACTAAAAAGAAAATGCTATTAAGAAAGAACTCAGGTCTCAATTGGTTCATAGAGGCTCCGCTCTAGATAAAAGGAGGCTGCGATGCCGGATATGGAGACACGGTGAATAAGACGGTGGAAGCGAACCGTTGATTTGGAACGTTTTATTCAATTTCCAGAACCAATTCAACCCTATGAGCACAGCCAGTCGCCAGATCTTCGTCCTGGGAAACCCATTGACTGATACTCCATATTTTGATTTTACCACCTTCAGATCAATCTGATTGGCTGCAAACAGGAAATGGTTTGGGTGTGAATTTGGAAATCAAATTTGTTCATACGAAGGTGATGTTTAGTTACACAGACCGTGGGATCTACCCGTCCCATTTGGCAAAAAAATCAGCATGGCCCATTTACCTACGGATAGAATATTTAAAAATCCAACCTAACTTATTATTTTGACCCGTCAAGATATATCCCAGTCTATTAAGCCCATTGAGACCAGCCCAGAAATTCTTTTATACGAAGTATATTATTATTTTAATACACTGGCTTCATAATCGGGAACTTATAAATGTAAGGTTTAAATATGGTTTTA